GGTGAAGCCCCATCTCTACAAAAAGTACAAAAATTAGCCAGGGGAAGTCATGTGCACCTTGAATCCCAGCTACTCAGGAGGCTGAGGTAGGAGAATCGCTTTTGCAGTGAGCTGAGATCGTGCCATTGCACTCCAGCCTAGGCGACAAAGCAAAACTCCATCTCAAAAAAAAAAAAAAAAAAAGGCCAGGCGCAGTGACTCATGCCTGTAATCCCAACACTTTGGGAGGCCAAGGTGGGAGGATCACCTGAAGTCAGAAATTCGAGACCAGCCTGGCTAACGTGGTGAAACCTCATCTCTACTAAAAATATCAAAAATTAGCTGGGTGTAGTGGTGGGCACCTGTAATCCCAGCTACTCAGGAGGCTGAGACAGGAGAATCATTTGAACCCAGGAGGAAGAGGTTGCAGTGAGATGAGATCGAGCCATTGCACTCCAGCCTGGGCAGCAAGAGTGAAACTCCTTCTGGGGGAGGGGGAAGATGCAGGTGCCTTTTGCTCAGGTGAACCTGTGGCAAATCAGATCCCCTGGCTCCTGTCCTCCTGAAGATATGAACTGGGTCCCTGAGAGTTGGCTGGGTGCAGATATCACCTATGGAGGAAAATGAAACTTAGCATTTTTCTGCAGATTTGGTATTCACCCAAAGTGCCTCGTGGGGGCTCGTTTCCCTCATCTGTAAAATGGTGGTGATGGAGTTGCTGTGTGCACTCATGAGAGGACACAGAGGAAGCACAATGTGCCTGGTGTGTCCTAAGAGTCTGATAAATGGAACCAGCAATAGGAGTAGAATGAATTTGGAAGCTGGGAGCCTCAGTGCAAGTGTGGCTCTGCCCCAGATTCCAGGGTGACCTTGCACAGCCACTTCCCTTACTGCCACCAGATCAGCATTCTCGGCTTTGCTACATGTTGGCATCAGCCTCAGTCTTGTCCCTGCAAGCCCACCCCCTGCCCTTGGGGTCACAGGAAGAGGCTTCCACTGCCCTGTTGCTGGGCCCCTCCTGCTTCCCATATAATGGGGAGAATGGCAGGAGCACCTGGGACCAACACACACCATAGCATACACACACACACTACACACATACACCTCACACATACCACGGCATACACACACACAACACACATACAGCTCACACACACAGCATACACACACTACACATGTACAGCTCACACACACACAGCATACACACACACTACACATACACCACACACAGCAAACACACTCACTACATACAGCTCACACACCACAGCATACACACACACTACATGCAGCTCACATACACAGCATACAAACACACACAGCTCACATACCACAGCATACAGACAACACAGATACAGCTCACACACACAGCAAACACACTACAAATGTACAGCTCACACACATACCACAGCATACCAACACACACACTACACATACACCACACACAGCATACAAAAACACACTCACTACATACAGCTCACACACCACAGCAAACACACACACACTACATGCAGCTCACATACACAGCATACAAAAACACACACTACACACATATAGCTCACACACACCACAGCATACAAAAACATACACACTACATACAGCTCACACACACAGCATACAAAACACACACACACACCACAGCATACAAAAACACATGCACACTCACTACACACATACACACACACTACACATACCACATACACATCATACTCAAACACACCACACAAATACAACACACACGTCTTACACATATATACCATACGCACATTAATACCACATATACACACCACATACACTCACACAAAACACACAACATACAAAAAACACACTACACACATACACCTTACACACCACACTCACACAAAAACACACCACAACATCCACTCACACCACACACACTCACTACACACATACAATTTATGCACACACCACATACATACCACATGCACATCTGATGTGAGTGTGTATGGGGGGCTGCTCACTTCCCTCCACTCAAAGCGTCCTCACCAACATCGCCATCACCCACCACGCTACAAAGCGCAGGACCTCATCTCCGCTCCCCTGACCAGCCCTCTGTGCTCTCCCGCAGTGGACCAGCTCTCTCAGGACCCCCTCCCCCTCCCACTTCCACAGGGTTGCAAGATCAAATGCAGGGTGCCCAGTTAAACTTGAATTTCAGATAGACAAAGAATTTTTAGTGTAGGCATGTCCCAAATGTTGTATGGGACATATTCATACTGACACATATTTGTTGCCTGTTCGAAATTCCAATTTAACTGGATGTCTTATCTTTTTGTCAAATCTGGCAACCCCATTCCCCCCAGTTCTCTGGTCCCCACACTCCCCACCTTCCCGTCCCTTCTCCAGTTGCTTCTCCTTGGCCCCTCTCTTTGTCAGCCCATTCTGGGGTACTGGCCTTGGCAACCCTCTTTTTTTCTAACTTCCTGCTCTTCTGGGAGCTTCTCGGATCCACCTCCATGTGGGGCTGGCCCCACCAGCGTCCTCGGAGGACCTTCCCGCCAGCTCCTGATACAGAAGCCACCCTCCCTGCAGCAATAGCATGTTGCCATGATGCATGTGTCTCCAGAGGCTGGGCCTGCCAGCCTGACTCAAGCAAGCCTGCCTCTCTACTCCCTGTGTCGGAAACATGCCGGACCAGATGCGGCCAGAAGCGTTTCCCCAGGAGCTGGCTCTTGTCCGGCCTCATTTCCTTGTGCCTGGCCAAGCTGAGCCACAGACCCCCTTCCCCCACATGAACTCGGAACCCCCATTCATGCTGCTCCCCCTGCCCACAGTACCTCCCCCAAACTCTGCTTTCTGAAGTCCCCTCTCTTCTCCAAGTTCAACTCACAAGGCCTCCTCCTCCCAGCTCCACTCCCTTCCGCCACGAGCACCTAGAGTGTGTTATCTGCAGCCTTATCTAGGAGTTCACGAGGTCCAAATGTCCAGTTGACCCCCTCGTTCCCTGGCAGGGCTGGATACACAGTCAGTGCCCAGTGTTTACTGAGTAAGTGAATGAATGCATGGGTAAGTGAGGTGGCATCTACTCCAGGAGTAGATGGATGGGTGGGCAGATGGGCAAATGAACAAATGAAGAGCGTGCCGGGCTCACCAGACAGCCTGTCTCCTGCAGAGGAAGGCCAGGCTCCCTCCCCACGCCCTCTCCACCAGCACTTGGTTTTCACATCCATGTGATTCCAGCCTGCAGACTCTCCCGACCGACCTGGTGAGCGCTGTGACCACACAGTACAAGAGCAGAGTGCTGGGCCTGGCTCCCGCTGAAGGGTGCCGGAGCTGGAGCAGAGCTGACTCTGGCTGAGGGGAGAGGGAGGCTGAGGCCCACTCTTCTCCCCTCTCAGATCCTGCTCAGCCATCTCTCCCCACATGGGTCTCCTGTGCCCAGGTTTTTCTTTGTGTCTAGACATACGAACCCACCTCTGACCAGTCTAGGCTATTCCAAGAACAGGACCCTACTGGGTTCCTGTGGAGATGTGCTGCCAGGTCCCCTTTCAAGGAAGGACTTCAGCCAAATGCAATGGCTTACATCTGTAATCCCAACATTTTGGGAGGCCAAGGTGGGAGGATCACTTGAGGCCGAAGAGTTTGAGATTAGGTTTGACAACATAGTGAAACTACATCTCTAGAAGAAAAGGGTTTTTTTTAATTAGCTAGCATGGTGGCATGCACCTATGCTTCCAGCTACTCAGGAGGCAGAGGCAGGAGACTCGACTGAGCCCTGGAATTCAAGGCTGCAGTGAGCTATGATCACACCTGCACTCCGGCCTGGGTGGCGGAGTGAAATCCCATCTCCTAAAATTAAATTAAATTAAAATAATAAAATAGAAAGGAAGGACTTCAAGGCCTGCAGAGAGCTGCCCTGCCTAAGGTTAGACCCTGGGGGAGGGAGAGGGACTCAGAAACGGAGCAAACGTGTGGGGATATTAAGGGCCTGTATCAAGGTTTGACTTTTTCCTCTACCCGATCCTGCTTCTTCCTTCTTCCCTGCTGACAAATGCTGAGGCTATGATAAAATACATTGTCTGCTAAGAAGAACCATGGCAAGGAAAACCTAGCTGCCCCCCCACCGAGTGGAAAACTGCTTGGGGCATTCTAGAGTAGCACAACAGTATATGCATACCATACACCTGTAAAACAATTCTCTAAGCACGGAATATGTGACCCTGCTCCCGTGGCTCCCTCGTGGAGAATACTTTCTGGTTTGTCTGCGATCAGTGGTAAGCAGGCACCAGCTGCCTACCTTGTTTATCTTGGGTCTATGAGAAAACACAGGACACCTGCTGTTAATAATAATCACCTGCTCAGAGAGACTAACTATGTGGGTCAGAGTCTGCTTGAGGCCCTTAGTCCGGAATGCTGTCAGCCCCTGAGGCTCTTGGCTTGGAAGGCTGAGGAGAGGGTTTTTGGCCTCTGGATAGTCCCATTCACTTTGCTGTTCTATCTGGGTGTCTGCTTCTTAATTCCTTTAGCGCCACCTGGGTGGGGGGTCTCTACGGCCAAGCTGGACTGGATACTTCCCCTTACAGGAGATGATCCCTGATAAATGTCTTGCACCCAAACTTTGCCTCAGTGTTGACTTTTAAAGAATACAGCCCACTCTTCCCTCTGTCTTCCCTCTGTCTCCAGGGCCTCCCCACATGCCAGGTCCCTTCCCTGTGCATCTGTGAAGGCCCTGTGTGGGGGACTGGCCTTCTCAGTGTCCAGGACATGGTCCCAGGAGCTCTGAGGCCTGAGTTGAGCCCCGCCCACTATGCTCTTCCCCATCCCTCTGGCGCCTTCCCGGTATACCTCTCCAACTCCAAGCCACTCTCTCTGAGAGCCCTTCCTGTGGCAGCCACATGGCAAAGGCAGCCTGTCTGGACACCCTTAGAGGCCAGAGCCCCCCTAAAGCATAATCTTGCCCCCCTCAACAGACAGCTCCTGGGAGAGCCATCTACTCAGGGCTGGATACAGACATAAGAGCCAGGAGGCTGGCGATTTTGCACCTTTCAAACCAAACTCTTTACAGCACGGCATTTATTCCATGGCCACAGGAGAATGGGTTTTCTATTAATAAAAACTGAATATTTCTTTCTTTGTGATAAAACAAGAGCTTTGTTACATGCTCTGAATGTAACAACATTTCAACTTGTCTGGAATTATCTTTCAGTTCCTGATTTTTCTGTCACTCCCGGGTAACACAAGTCACGTTCTCTAAGAATAGAAGTGACCTGTTAGAATATAGCAATACAAAACACGTTAAAAATATGTTTAAAAATCAGATTTCTGGCTTTCCTTTCAATAAAACATTGTGCTTTCTGTGGCTCTTATTTTCTCTCCAAATCAGATTTGGAAAGGCCCGTAAAAGGATATACATTTTCAGTTCTAAAGTAAATCATTTGTTCCCAGGAAGCAGCTCTTCAGAATTTTAGGGCTGATTTCAGGCAAATGGCAGGGAGCAGGCCTCGAGGCTGAGTTCTGTGCAATGTGCAAAAGGAATCAATTAGGAGAGCAAGAAAGAAGCAGTTTCCAAAAATGTCCACTTGAGGGTGCTGTGTCCTCAGGTGGCAATAGATCAGTGTCGCAGGCACACCGCCTACAATAAATTCCAGTAGTATTTCAGTTCCTGGTGTAGCTCAGCAGACCCAGCGGCCTTGCAGTCCAGCGCTGTGTCTGTTCGCTCACTCCTCAGACCTCTCCTAAGCCCCATCCTGTGGGTTGACTCCAGCTGGGCTCGGGGGTTCCAATACCAAGGATCCCACAGGCTGGAGGGCACAGAAGGTTGGGGTGGGAGAGGAGATGGGGAGTTCACAGGTTACGAAGGGGAAGGAGTGGGAGGCGGTCCTGGGAGGGATAGTAGGCCAGGGAAGGCTTGCTGAGGGGCAGGTGAGTCTGACCCATCAGCATAGCAAATCATAGGGACTCAGGCCTCACATGAAGGTCCAGAAGTCCTGGGCACTAGGCACTGGCTGGGCATGGCGACCAGGCCCCGTGAAAAGAGAAGCCTCTTGGCGAAATGTGGCCACCGTGAAGCTGCTCCCAGAGCCCTCCTGTAGATCCTGGGCCCTCGAGTCACAGCTGAAGCAGCAGAGGACACAGGTGATGGTCACAGTCACCACAAACAGTACCGCCACTACCCCAATCACTGCCGTTTCCATGGCCCGCTGAGCAACCTTAGGTCCTCTTGAAGCCTTCGCTCCCATCCAGAACAGGAGGCTCTTGGTGATGGCAGGGGCCTGGTGCTCTCCCTCTGTCTCCTAAGAAGACGCTGCTCTGAGTCCCTGGGTCGCTCCTGCTCCAGGCCATCCGGCACTGCCACGTGACCCCACTGCTCAAATCTCAGATAATCTCTATTTTCTATGCCTCAGGCCAGGTCTCCAAGAGCTGTGGTCAGCTCCATGTCAGCTTCTAGAAGAAGCACTGCCCTGGAAGACGTGAGAACAGACTCCCTAGACACAGAGGAGGTGGAGAGGAGGGGTCAGAAGACGCTGCACAGAGAGCCTAGCCAGCCCTGGCCCTCCGGTGACGCCTACGGATTTCAAGAGCAAGTTACACTCAGGCCAAAGACAAAATACTGCCCCTACTGTGGATGCGGGAGGAGCCGGGCTCCTCCCCAGGAGGGACCTTGGGCCAGTGCTTCAATAGGCCTATCTACTGCCTCCCCAGCTCCTGGCCCTGTGCTGGGGGCAGGGACACAAGGAGGGAGGAAGGCATTCACCAGCTCTGAGCAAGGCAGGGGGCACTCACAGGTCACCCCAGGCACCAGGGCCTTCAGCGGGGGCTGGAGGAGGGGGCAGGTTGTATTTGGCCTCCTTTTCTGCCTGGCGCTGGGAGCATGCAGTTTAGATAGAGTATCACATGCTTCCCCGGGAATCCCTGCCCTGCGCATGACTGTAGGGCTCCTTACCCGGAGGTCCCAGAAGAAACCTTCTTGGGTGCTGGCCTTACCTGCCCTCTTTGCTGCCCACTCAGCCCATTGCTCACACTCTTGTACTACGAAGACTTACCCTGGGCTCCCTGAGGGCCAGCCCTGGCTGCACCTAGTACTTCAGCCCCCTGGCCTGGTGGTCGCCCCAGGGACCATGGCACTCCTCCCTGGGTGCCGCAGCCTCCACGTTGTCCTGCTTGGAACTTGGCTCCGAGATGTCTGAGCAGCTGAGAGCACTTCCTGAATTCCTTCCGCCAATTGTGAGGAGGGCCCAGGACCCACTTAGCAGCTGTCCAACCCGAGTTATCCCGCCCCGCCGTGCGCGCCCCAAGCCATTTCCACCCTGCTCCCTGCCAGGAGGTCAGGGAAATAAGCTAGGCCCAGGTGACTGAGTTAGTCTGCCATGTCAGAGCCCCTTCACACCCAACACCTCTGGAGACCATCACCACTTCCAGAAAGGAGACTGGGCCATTAGCCCCACTCTGTCCATATTCTGGGAAACAGAGTAGTGAGAACAGTAACTCCAGGCAGGGACCTCACCAGACGTGATCTGATAACCTTCCCAGCAACCCTGTGTAGCGATATAGTCTCCATTTTATAGATAAAGATCCTACGGTCATAGAGGTTAAATGACCTCCCTGTAGCCCATTTTGAATTAGCCATGTTAACTGGAGTACCAGTGGCTGAGGAGGGACCAGCCTCCCTCCACTCCTAGCTCAGTGCCCTTTCCAGGTGCCATGGGACCACAGGTCATCTGATTCTGCAGTTTTACTGATCTGGGTGCAGAGTCCCAGAAAGGGCAGAGGGCCGGCCCAAGGTCACACAGCCCGGATCCTTTTCGTTTCTCCAAGGCCCAAGGGAACTTTCTTTAGGACCCACATTAGGATACCAGCACTTTGCACAGAATGGGAGAGCAACTTTTCAGAGCAAACCATGGCCTGTCATATTCTCAATCTGTCCCTTTTCGGAGATGATGGGACCATCTGGGCCCTGAGCTTCTCCTCCACATGGAGAAGGCTGTAGGCTGTGACAGGAAGCAGATTACTTGGATTATTTTTATTAACTGGGACGACCAGAAGCAGAGGGAAGGAGATGATGGGATGATCTAGGGGCCTGTGGTTTCAGGTTGAGTTACCAACATCACCTCCTTAATTGGGGTGATAGAGGGCACCAGGGGACTGTGTGTCAAGCTTGAACGTTTGTTCCTTTGTCTTCTCATCAGCTGTTCTTTGCAGGTACATGCAGCTGTAGGCCGCCTGCAGAGTGCCTGAGTGGTTCCGCATTTTTTTTTTTTTTTGAGATGGAGTTTTGCTCTTGTTACCCAGGCTGGAGTGCAATGGTACGATCTCGGCTCACCGCAACCTCCGCCTCCTGGGTTCAGGCAATTCTCCTGCCTCAGCCTCCTGAGTAGCTGGGATTATAGGCACGCTGCCCAGCTATTTTTTTGTATTTTTAGTAGAGATGAGGTTTCACCGTGTTGACCAGGATGGTCTCGATCTATTGACCTCGTGATCCACTAGCCTCGGCCTCCCAAAGTGCTGGGATTACAGACGAGCCACCGCGCCCAGCTGGTTCCTCATTTTTAAACTGAAATAAAGGCCTTTTTAAACTGAAATAAAGGCCGATCATTCAGCAGGTTCTCTCCTGCCCTGCATAGGCTTCCTTTCCTGTTTCTGAGCTTTAGGGGAACCTCTTCCCCTTCTTTGATTCGTCTGTGAAATCAGCATGGAGATGCTTGGAAAAGGGGCAGGGCTGGGGGAACAGAAGGAGGAGTTGTGGCAGGAATCCAGGCATGGGATGGAGAGGTCCTGGGTTACAGGGGGTGGATTTGAGGCCACTGCAGAGAAAATCAACACTGCATCACTGCCTAGGGTCCACTTTCCCCACCCAGAAACCCAGGGCGGGAGAAATCAGTGTGAATTTGCCTCCCCCTGCCTCCTCCTCCAACCCTCACAGAGACTCCACTGGGAAATAGAAAGGAAAGAGCACATTCTGTTCCGGTGAGTCACCAGGCCCCTGACTCTCTGGCTTGCTCTCCAGCCCCTCCCCACTGTCTCGCCGGCCCCACTTCCCACCTCAGCTCACAGGCACAGGCTGATGGTCTCAGAGCCAGACTTCCTTCCTCACTGTGGATACCACCAGCTTTCATAGAGCATATTCCAACGAACCTCCAGGCTTCAGCAAGGGACATCTCTGTTACCCACCCCATTGTAGAGAAGAGGAAACTGAGACCCCAGCATTCTCCTAAGGCCATCCAACACCCTGCACCCCAGCACCTAAAGAACTCCACTTGCTCCCTCCCAGCCCTCCCACCGTGCACAGGCACCAGCTGGGGCAGCATGGCTGGAGATGCAAGGCCTGGAGAATAAACCTTGATCCAGTTACCAAGGAAACTGAATTCAAGACAGCCTGTAGGTGGGGCTTCCTCCAGTTCCAGAGCTCAGCTGGCCCTGGATGTGGGCTGAAAAGATTACAGGGGCAGAGCCCTGGGGAGCCAGCCTCCTAGCCGCTCCAACCTTCCTGTCCCCAAGGCCCTGGACTGTCCCACAGAAGGCCAAAGCCCTGCTGGTGCACACAGGACCTTCTGTGGGCAGGGCTTTGTGCAAACCCCGAATCCTCCCTCAGAGCTCAGACAGAGCCCACCCAATTCTTCCCACGCCACAACCAGCCCCTAAGACCCAGACAGAAGCTGCCTGCTCCAGACACACACTTTCCATCAGAGAGGGAGGTCCCAGGGCAATGAGGTCGCAGGCCGGGCAGCTCCCTCCCTCCCGCCTGCTATGCTGCAATCAAGAGTCTCTTCACAAAAGCTTCTTAGTGGTTTTTATTTTCCTGGACTAAAGCACCGATGAATTGACTGTGCAGCCTCGTACTGCCTTCTCCAAACCAAAAGGACATTCTCAGGGCCTCTCCCAGAGGCCTCCAGCGGCCTGATGAGGAGGTCAAGATGGGTGCTTCACATCCACTTGTGTCCTGGCTTTGCCAAGACACCCTTGTCACTTCTGGGGCTCACTGGGAGTCACAGTCACAAAAGAGGCACTCTTGCTCTCCACTCCCCAAACTCTTCAGCGTAGCAGGCCCCAGTGTTCCTCCATTCTCTGCTGCCAGAGTACCGTGGGGCATAGCATGCAAATGCAGCCCAGGCAGGCCCCGGGCAATCGTTCCCCTCCTTCCCTCCAGAGATGCATCCTTCCCCATGGAAACATGGGGTCCACTTGTCCTGGGAATGGATGGCAGGCAGGGACAGCTGCTGTCCACAGGAACCCACAGCGGCAGCCTCAGCGAGCGTGGCGGGGGTGGTGGTGGTGGTGATGGAGGTGGTGAGGGGCATGGTGGGGGTGGTGATGGTGGTGGTGGAAGCCCACATGCGACACGTGAGACATGTGGCCAGGATGATGGCGATGGTGATGGCCCAGGTGGCCCCGGTGCCGGAAAAGCCAAGGCTGGGCCCAGCGGACTCGGTTTCCCCTTGCAGCTGGACGGTTCCTCTCCACATCACAGTCCTGCCGTCCATGGAAAAGGCAGGTGGCCAGAAGCAGCAGCAGCAGCAGGACCGCCACAGCAGCACCTGTGATCCATCCCGTGAGGGTCGTGCTCCCCACGAGGTCCGGCATCTGCAAACCAGACAGCCCCTACCCAGCGCTTCTCACTCCTCTCTCCCTTTCAGCAGCCTCCGCTCAGCCCTCTCTGTCACTAAACTTTGTTGTCTCCGTTGCGGGCTGGAGAGCAGCCAGGAAATGTGGGCAGTCTGTTTGGACTGCAACTGCTGTCCAAGGGCGAGGCCACGCCGCTGTGAACTCTGGGGAGGCCTGGCAGGGAGGCTGGGTGGAGACACAGGAGCTGTCAGGCTGGATCTGGTTGAGGGAGGAGCCCTGAGTCTAGAGGAAAGAAACCGTCTGGCTCAGTGACTTTTTCTCTCCGGGCTTCCGTCTCCTCTCACAGAGATTGAGGGACAGAGATGAAGCACACGGGCTTTGGAGCCACACAACTCACTAGCTCTGAGACTGTGCACAGGTTGCTTGACCTCTCCATCCTGTTTCCTCTTCTATAAACGGCTGGTAACAGTTCCTTCCCCGCACGGTGTGCTGAGGGCTAAAGGAGAGGAGATGTATAAACAGCAACGTCAGCTCCCGTCACACGTTTGCCATTGATATCATTGCAGTGGACTCCAGGACTCGGGAGACATTGTCATCTGAGGGTCTGGGGTTCCCGGTCCTGTGGCCTGTAGAGCTCTCTGGGGCTGAGTCAGGCTCTGTCAGAGCTCAGTGGGCTTGAGAAACTCAGGGAGGTGCCACAGGCAGATTTCACCATCCAGGGAGGTCCTCCATCCGGCCTGTCCTGGGAGGCAGGAGGGTCAGGGTGTCATCACAAGGCGGCTGGGAGGCAGGAAGGAGGCCACTGAGCTCAGAGAGGGCAGGCACAGGCCCGGCCTCCTGGTTCCCAGTTCAACAGTCTCAACTGGCCATAATGGCGTGCTCCTTGCTCTGTCACACCTTCCCTGCCCAGCAGTGATGAATGCCATTCCTGCCTAGTGGAGCATTTACAGAGCAGCAGGATCTGAGCAGTCACTGACTCTCCCTCCAAGCCCACCCCCTTGGCTTGAATCTGTTCTGGTCCTCCTGGGAGGCACCATCCCATCCTGCTCACGGGCCTCAGCGACAGGTGCTCCCACTCTCCCTGGGCAACCCTTTCTGCTATGGGCATGCTGGGCTGTTCTCCAAGCTCTTCCTCACATGCAGTGGGGCTCCCAAAGCCCCAGTTCTGCGTCTGGCTGTGCAGGATCCCTCCAGGCTGAGTCCTCAGCCCCTCCCCTCAGGCTCCTTGGGGTCTGTGCTCATCTCCCCGCCACCTGCCACCTGGAGGAATATCTGCAGACACCGCAAGGCTGGTTCTCTGAGCTCTGGCAACACCTCCCCCATGACATTGGGCAAACCCCTTCCCCTGACCCAGCCTGTCTCCTCTGCAGAGTTCCCAGGGCAAAAGGTGACCTCCAGGGACCCTTCCCCCTCTGACCTCAATCTGAGCTGAGCTCTCTCAGGGAGGCCTCAAACTCTTAATGAAAACCCTCACCAGATGAAAAGGCTAAACATTCCCTTCAAACAAATTGGGCTCAGGGGGCAGCAGGTCTAATGAATCCTGGCACTTCTTTGGCCCTTGGGGGAGCCACTTGAACTTTTAATGATGCTGGAGTAAGGACTCTTCCTGCAGACTCCTGGGGCCCCGGGAGCCCCGCTGCCTTCCCTAGGGAAGTTAAGGAGGGAAGTCTGCTGTGAGGAGGAGGAGGAAGTCAAACAGGATTTTCATCCTCAGAACTTCTCCAAGAAGACTCCCACCCCTGACCAGCCACTGGCGGCGGGCAGGGATGGGCCTTACAACGACGAACTTGAAGAACTTCAGTCAGCTCAAAGGGCCCTTGGAATCACCCAGACCCACCCAGCCCTCACTGACAGATGGAGAAACTGAGGCCAGAGAAGGGAAAGACTCGTTTAAGTTTCCCCAGCCTTGTGAGCTAATCTATACAGCAGGTACTCAACTGATGACCCTGCAGTGAGGGGCCATCTGGAGTGAGAGCCTGAGATCAGCCAGGACTTCCACAGAGATAGTGGGAAGATGAGGTGGAGGTGAGAATGAGCCTGGAGCGGGCAGGGGTTCAGGGCTTCCTCACACATACGCATATATACGACATCTGTTTCCTTAGGTGCAGGCTCACTCCCCATCTGGATAGTAGATCCCAAGGTGAACATTTGATTAGATGCTTTGGGCACCAGAGGGCCAGTGAAGGACACGCATTGAGACCACAGTCCTCTGCAACTTAATCCATTTATGCCTAAGTTTGCATTTTTTTTTTAATTTTTGCAATCAGACCTTGACAATGACCTTGATCAGTAGGATATAAATAACTCCCATATAATTAGCGTTCCAGTAGTGGAACACTAGGCATAAATGTTAAGAAGTGACACAGTCAGATGCAGCAGCCTGTAATCACAGCATTTTGGGAGGCTGAGGGGGGTGGATCATTGGAGCCCAGAAGTTCAAGACCAGCCTGGGCAACATGGCACAATCCTATGTCTACGAAAGTTATAAAAGATTAGCTAAGCATGGTGGCATGTGTCTGTAATCCCAGCTATTCGGGAGTCTGAGGTGGGAGGATTGTTTGAGCCTAGGAAGTTGAGGCTGCAGTGAGCCGAGATCGCACCATTGTGCTCCAGCCTGGGCAACAGAGCAAGACCTTGTCTTGAAAAGAAAGAAGAATAAGAAGGAGGAGGAGGAAGAAGAAGGAGAAGGGAGAGGAGGAGGAGGAGGAGGAGGAGGAGGAGGAGGAGGAGGAGGAGGAGGAGGAGGAGGAGGAGGAGGAGGAGGAGGAACAGACAGAGACCTTCTTGGAGTCTTGACTGTATACAAGGGTTTGCAGGACTTATAACTTTAAGGACACTGTGGCTGTTTTCAGGAATCCCTGCCTCAGAAAAGCTTCTCATTGTATTTCCCCCCCCCCCCCCCCCCAGGATTGGGAACTTCCCACCCAAGGAACTCCCATTCTGGACCACATAGCTGATTGGTAAGCCTTTATTTACCAATTATTATTGGTAAACTCATATTATTTAGCACAGACTCACGCAAGGCTTGTAAATCAACACTGCTCTGTGGGAAAACTCACACACTAATAATTGTGTGTGCACATGCTCATGTAAATATGCACAGGTGAATGCAAGTTTCAGACAACTCACAAACTGATGCTTGTAGTAGCTGCAGGTGGTTCTTGGAAGTCCAGCCATAGCAACCACATTGTTTTCACTAATTGGTGGCACCACCTAGTGGTGACACTGTAAATAAATCAGTTTTGTATTCTGACCTGTCAAAAGTTACAGCATCTGATGGTTGTTTATAGACCATAATTTGAACCCATGCATTTAAATCATCCCCATTCCAAATTCCCATTGAAATAGACAAAGAAGTAAAAGAGGGAAAGTCCTATTCCCTCTTTTTACCGGAAATCAGTAAAAAAAATCACATTACTGGCCCATAAACTTCAAGGAATTTCTACAAGGTACAGTGCAAATGGAACGAGGCTGATGGATGTATTGACTAATGAAAGACATTCCTGGGAAACAGGGGAGGATAAGCCAGGAGAGTCTTCCCTAAAGCCCCGCGGTAGACAGCCAGGACTAGGAGCAAGGCTGAGATGGGCGTAAGCAGGAGACAAATTGAGCAGCCTTGGGAATTGTGAGTGCCTGCTCACAGAGAAGGTGGCCAAGGCTTAGTGCATCTTTCGGTTTGCACAGAAAAGCAAGGACATTGGCCAGCAGGTTTCCAAGCAGGTGCTCATGCCAGTTAGGGAAGGGGATATTCTTCTGGCCAACCTTGGACTGCCTCAACAAAGTTGCCCAGCAGAACAGCAAACTGCTCTCCTCTTCTCGGAAGCTCTCCCTGCCCTAATCATGGTGGATTGGATCTCCCATTCCAGAAAACGAAACTATAAATATTCCATTTTGCTTAGTTTCCCATTGCCGGAACCAACATGTTTGAAGATGATCTACACATCTTTTATAGGACCCATTTCAAACCTCAATTCCAAACAAATGTAGATCTAGGTCTCTCCACAAAGTGAGCAATTAGATAAAAATGTCTAGACATATGAAAAAAGATATGTTATTATATCTTTATTACTAGGGTTATTGGAATCTAAGAAGAAAAAACAGTAAAATTCCCTAATTTACATTGTAAATACAATTCCAAAAGTCAATCTATAGATGAATATGGAAAATATGCAAAACCAGGAATTTTTTTTTTTTTGAGGCGGAATTTCGCTCTTGTTACCCAGGCTGGAGTGCAATGGCACGATCTCGGCTCACCGCAACCTCCACCTCCTGGGTTCAAGCAATTCTCCCACCTCAGCCTCCTGAGTAGCTGGGATTACAGGCACACACCATCATGCCCAGCTAATTTTTTGTATTTTTAGTAGAGACGGGGTTTCACCATGTTGACCAGGATGGTCTCGATCTCTTGACCTCGTGATCCACCCACCTCGGCCTCCCAAAGTGCTGGGATTACAGACTTGAGCCACCACACCCGGCCTAAGACCAGGAAATTTTTTCCAATTAAAAACCAAATCCAGAAAGATTGCTTTGAGAACCTTCCTTATAACTCAGAAATAAATAAATAAATAAATAAATTAATTAATTAAAAGGGAGAGAGAGAAAGAAAAGAAAGATCCAGAAATCAAATACACCTATATAATAGGCATTCTAGAAATAGAGAATAGAGTCCATGGAGAAACAATCATTAAAGAAATATAAAGAAAATTTCCTGACTTGAAGAATTAAGTTTTTAGATCAAAAAGTGCACTTAGTACTCAGCAAACATCTATCTATCTAGAGACAGGGTCTCATTCTGTCACCCACGCTGAAATGCAGTGGCATCATCACAGTTGGCTCACTGCAGCCTTGACCTCCTGAGCTCAAGTGATCCTCCCACCCCAGCCTCTAAAGCAGTTGGGACTACAGGCAGATCCCACCATGCTGGCTAATTTTTTAAAATTTTTTTTGTAGAGACAGGTTTTTGCCATGTTGTCCAGGCTTGTCTTGAACTCCTAGGTTCAAGCAATTCTCCCAACTTGGCCTCCCAAAATGCTGCGATTATAGATGTGAGTCACACCCCACCTAAGCAAACTATTTGGAGAGGCCAGAGCATCTAGCTATGTCCAGGAGAAATTTTAACATTAAAACAATAAAGAAAAACCAAATGATACACCATCATAGAAAGCAGTTAGAATTTTCATATAAAACTAAACACACTCTACCATACAATCCAGCAATCACACTCCTTGGAATTTACCCAAATTAGCTGAAAACTTGTCTCCACACAAAAATCTGCATGTGGGTGTTTACAGCAACTTTATTCATAATTGACAAAACTTGGAAGCCACTGAGAGGTCCTTCAGCAGGTGAATGGATAGATAAACTGTGGTATACCAGACAATGGAACGTTATTCAGCACTAAAAAGAAATGAACTCTCAAGACATGAGAAAACATGGAGGAAACTTAAATGCATAGAAGCCAATCTCAAAAGGCTGCATATGTATGATTGTGACTATTTAACATTCTGGAAAAGGCAAAACTATGGAGATAGTAGAAGGGTCAGTGGTGGCCAGGGCTGGAAGGAGGTAGGAGGGAGAGTGCAGGGAATTTTTTAGGGCAGTGAAACTACTCTATAAAACACTGTGATGATGGATACATGTCATTTCAAAATTTGTCAAAATCCATAGAATGTACAACACCAAGAATGAACCCTAATGTGAACAATGGCCTTTGGGAGATGAGGTGTCAATGTAGAGTGGGTTATAACAAATGTACCTCCCTGTTGTGGAACACTGACAATAGCAGAGGGGCGTTCACATGGGAAATCTCTGTAACCTCCACTCAAATTTTTTGTGAACCTAAAACTGCTCTAAAAAATAAAGTCTACCTTTTTTAAAAAAATAAAAGGGGTAAATAAAATAATCCTACAAACCACAACAGGAGCTGTTTGAAGATATCTTCTTTTATTTTTTTAATTCACATAACTTACTTTATAAAAGTAGCATAACCCTGATTTCAAACCTAACAACTATAGCACAAAAACACTACAAATCTCAGAAGTCTATCAAATTAATGTTCTAACCCTAACATAACATTGGGAGATGAATACTCCATAAAATAAATTTATTCTAGGAATGTGAGGGTGGTTTCATATTTTAAAAATATGTTGTCTTGGGCTGGGCTCAGTGGCTCATGCCTGTAATCCTAGCATTTTGGGGCCAAGGCGGGTGGATCACTTGAGGTCAGGAGTTCAAGACCAGCCTGTCCAACCTAATGAGGCCAACCCCATCTCTACTAAAAATACAAAAATTAGCCAGGCATGGTGGCTGGCACCTGTAATCCCAGCTACTCAGGAAGCTGAGGCACAAGAATTGCTTGAACTCAGGAAGCAGAGGTTGCCATGAGCTGAGATTACACCACTGCACTCCAGCCTGGGTGACAGAGTGAGACTATGTCTCAAAAAAAGCAAAACAAAAACAACAAATGGAAGGTTTGTGGCAACCCACTTCGAGCAAGTCTGTAGACACTATTTTCCAACAGCATGTGCTCACTTCACATCCCTGTGTCACACATTTTAATAATTCTCACAATATTTCAAATGTTTTCATTCCTATCATATCTGTTGTGGTGATCTGTCATCAGTGATCTTTGATGTTACTATTGTAATTGTTTTGGGGCACCATGAACTGCGTCCCTATCGTATTATTCAGTAAATGTGTGTGTTCTGGCTGCCTCACTGACTAGCCCTTCCTCCATCTCTTTTCCTCTCCTAGGGTTTTCCTATTCCCTAAGACACAACGATATGAAAATAAAGCCAATTAATAACCCTACAATGGCCTCTAAATGTTCAATGAAAGGAAGAGTCATGTCTCTCACTTTAAATCAAAAGCTAGAAATTATTAACCTTAGTGAGGAAGGCATGTTGAATGCCAAGACAGACTGAAAGTGAAGCCTCTTGCCCCCAACAGTTAGCCAACGTGTGAATGCAAAGGAAAAGTTCCTGAAGGAAATTAAAAGTCCTACTCCAGTGCACACATGAATGATAAGAAAGCAAAACAGCCTTATTGCCAATATGGAGACAGTTTGAGTGGTCTGGATAAACGATGAACCAGCCACAACATTCTCTTAAACAAAAGCCTAATCCAGAGCAAGACCCAAACTCTCATTAATTCTATGGAGGCTGACAGAGGTGAAGAGGCTGCAGATGAAGAGTTGGATGTTAGCAGAGGCTTAAGGAAAGAAGCCATCTTCATAACATGAAAGTACAAGGCGAGGAAGCAC